GGGAAAGGGTGGCCTTCAGAGCGGTAGTAGAATGTCCTTGGGCGTGGGGAGGACCGTCTCTGGAGGATCTGTCGCAGGAGTAGTTTCATATGTATTATAGGAATATGTATCAGCCTTTTGTAGAAGTTGGTTCATTTTCGAACTCTCGGCAAATACCGAAGGCAGTTCCGTGGCTTTGATCAACAGATTCGGAGGTCGTATCTTTCGTACTATGTATGTCAACTTGGCGTGTGTTTGCAAACACTAATATTATTGATCGTGTCAAGTGTCCTGTGCGTCTTGAGCCTTCAGTTTCAAAATGTTCGTCGGGACTACCAGCATAACCAGCAGCACTTTACTGATCACAGCCGTTGACCAACATACTCCATCAAAGAAGCCTCAATGCGCCTGCAGCCACAGCAAACCTGGCCCTACCCAGGTCTCATAGCACCTACGCCATAACTAATCTATGTCGTTGCCCCTGACTGTCTGTTTGGTTCGTCGATCGTGCTGTGATTCGCTATTTACTCACCGTTCATCTACAAAGTTGAAAGCACAGTGGCCATTTCGTGCTTATAACTACACACCCATCAAGACAAATCTGAACATCCATTCCATATTTTACGAACCCTTTGACAAGTTTTTTTCGACACTTGTTTTCTGTTTCTCCTCTACCACCGTCTAGGGAAATTATGAAGCCTTGATTTATCCCCGTTATTTCGTGTCGCCACAGGTAGGTATGTCATAGTTTCTATGTATCTAACACTCGATTGCACTGATCTACGGCCCAACACAGGATATACCTACACGGTAACTCTAGACGGGGAAAAGCTAAGACAGCGGGGCTATGAGATGGTTGCTTCTTGGTATTTGGCTATGCGTGTGCAAGGTGGAGCAATCAGACTACGGTACGACTTTTAATTCTGCCTATGAGATTGCTGAGCATGATGAAGGTCCGACAATAGCGCTCTTTGCTCATCTGACGGATCTCGCTTGTAACTGACAGCTTTTACCGACTTTTTTTCAAGTCAGAACTGCAAAACATCGCTGAAACGCAATGGCCATCTCATGAGCCTGTACGATCAAAAATTGGGCTTCTTATTTCACATGTGCGATTTATTTTTCGACCTAGCCTGGACGGCATCTTATGTGTAACAGGTAGCAATCACACAGCATGATTCAAGATGTATCTGCCAGTACAATACATCGCCATGGCATCAAGTGCACGATTGGATGCATCAAATACTATGGTGCGCTGTTGTTTTCCTTCTGAGTTGATGCAATGCCACATAATGCGACCTTGTTACAAAAGCAATGAGGGGAGCTGGCTGGAAGCCTCGAGCTTGGCTAGCGAGTCCGAGAGAGTACAGATGCTTTTGCGATCACATCACGCTTAGACCTGTGTTGGTTACGTGGTTGCCGACGTCACCAACGACTGGAACTTTCCCAGTGTCTGACTGGTCGCGTGCATACATACTAGTCTGCAAATCACATTCTAATTCTACTAACAAAGGTTTCCTCTTTTGCAGCTGCTTTCGCGCCGCAATACTCATTTTGCCCATGATATATAGGCTTCTTTTCTCCCATATGCAGTTTGCCTTGCGACCTTGGGATGGTGTTGCATAAGTATTCAAAAAATATCAACCACCAATCGGGATGTATGTATCTGGCTGTTTAGTATCAGGTTGGCTCTATGCTTACCATCTCTTTGTTCATTGACTTCATATATAATTATGATAGCTGTATGAGGCGACGGATGAGGTGAGATATATTCCACCCATTCTGTGTCACGGTTTCTTGTCTGACCTCTCTGGTGCTATGCTGCAGAACAGTCCTTGTTCCATAAGAGGGCTGTTATGTCTCGGGCTCGGCTAGCGAGGCCTAAAAGAGTGCACATGCTTTTGTTGATCGCATCACGCTTGGACCTGTGTTAGATCGAGTTTCATGGGGCACTCCTCGATTTTCGCAAGTTTGCAGCAAAAAATGCCCGAAGAACCACGTTGGAAATAAGTTCCGACACCACCAACGACTGGAACTTTCCTGTTATTCAGCACTAGCTGTGTAAATCTACTTTGATTTTTTGAAGGCTTCTTGTTGTACGATTTCTCACCGCAATACTTACTTCACCCGATCAAGGGTCTTGAGGTGGGATCAAGGATCCATCTTCATCATGCAGATTTCGGCAGTAGAAGGGCTGAACGAGGGTATATCTGGCATGAACGCTATCATTATACACCCCAACATTCCCCATTCGCCCATACTCATCCTCGAATATGACTGTAGTCATAAATGATCCCAGTTGGTGGCCGGTAATCGGTCTTAACATTGATTTCAGCTATTGGATAGGTTTGTCGTATCAAGATATCTTGATCTAACATTGACTTGTGATTTCGCAGTTGCCGCCGGCGTCGTAGTAATATACGATTGGGGTGAGCAGGACAGTGTTCGAAAACTGCTGATCTTCTCATAATATTTCCAGTGCTAACAATTGGACAAGAGGTAGGTCGATCTTATTGCCGGAGTAGCCAACTCGCTAAGAATGGTGTCATAGATTGAATTAATCTGGGTAAGTGACAAGATCCCCGTATCAGCAGAAAAGAAGATAATATAATGAATTCACGACAGAGGCAACGATGGTCTCTCATGTCTGCGCTGTATTTGCTCGTTCGTACCTCATGTTGTGCTATAGCGTGGCTGGCGAGTATTGCTGACTCCAAAATGTTCCAGATACGTTATATTGGAATACCATATTCTGTGTATGTGTCAAGGCCAACGACTTGGCACCGTGCTAATGCTAGCGCTCATCTCTGACAATTAGTATCAATACTCTGTGTATGTGACATATGTGCTGTGTTCGATTCTTCTGACCAGTGGCACACAGTGAATATGCCATTGGTCTCGCTGGGAGATGCAGTGAGTATGATGCAACCATCTCATTCCTATTCAATGAATACACTGATATGTAGGGGTGAGTGAGATTCCGAACATTGAACCTGGCCTGATATAATGACTACACAGATGTGAGTCGGTGTTTGATACCAATACCTGAGGCTGATCACTGATTGGGTGTTTCAGACACTATTGCGTACTACGCAGTGAATGTGACAAATGTGGTCGTAACTGCCATGTTGGGTGGTGGGTGACCTAGCTCAATACCTCTGTGATATTGACTCGACTGAAACATGATGCAAGTCATCATGATTGCCCGGTTACATGCCATGTATCAGGGATCCAGAACGATGCTTCTCTTCCTTGTTATCGTGTTCCTGGCTGTAAACATCGCCTGCGGGGTCTTGGTGGCAATAGGACTCAAGGATGTTGTAGCGGGCGAGCTTACTTGTCGACTCGAAGAACGCAGCTCATTGGACGAATGCCAGAGGAGCTGATACTCTCTGGTATATGTATGTGTAATTACGCATATGAAGGTAACATCTGGCTTCTGTTTACAATGACTTGGACGCTCTACACTTTTTGGGAGGTCCTCGCACTGTGTCTTTCAGCCTGGGTTGCTGTGAGACACTTCCGTGACCTGCGAAGACTCGGCCATTCGACAGGAACGAACATCGGGGACTGTTTCAGAGTGCTGATACAATCTCATGTGCTTTATTTTGCAAGGTGAGCTTGCCATGTAATTGTGGTCATATTTTTCTGCTAAAGTCCCGCGCGTGCTAGCTTTGTTTGTGTCTCTTGCCTCCAACTGGTCTATCTCTCTCCAGAGAACGATGTGCGCTGACCTATCACTGACATCTGCGTATAAACTTTGCTCACCGTTTCTGCAGAATTCAGATTCTATCGGATTTATGACACTCGATTGTGCTCTTAATATTTTATCGGGCGTGCAGATGTTTGTGCTGGGACCACGCCTTATCCTTAGCGTTCGAGAATATCACGCCAAACTCGTGGCCAAGTCTGACGCAGAAACTAGCATGAATTCGATTGTCTTCCAGGAGCATGTACACGTAACGACTAGCAGTACTGTGTAGGGACATACATGGCGAGTGGTCTGCGGGGAAGAGAAATTTGTTCGAGGATCCGTCGTAATATCTATTTAACATATGGAGTTTCCAAGCATATTTACATAAATTGAGGTCCATGTATTCCAATTCATTTCTTGTTGTATCTCTACTGGAGTACGTGAATCGCCTGCACGGAAGCTGAAATTATTCGGAACGTCTTACAGCCAACCCAGCCCTTGATTCCCGATACTGAAATGAACGAGAATAATATAGATTAACGAAATAACTGACTCTACGTGGCGTTCCTTTGTCTGGGCATAAAGATGATGACGAAGCGACTGTAAACCTAAAGCCCAGACGGCTTATGGTTGATTAGTCTGAGATGTATTCTCGTCCATCCGGGCAACGGAGAGGGAAGATGTATAAATCGCGTGGACTCGTGGCTCGACTGACGAATCAGCATGGTAAAGTGATGAGAGTGGGGTGGAGGATTAGTAGAGAATCGGAGCTTCAAGTAGAAGGGCCTCAAGCGTACCTATTGAAGTACTCAAGAGGCATCGACCAAGATATTCTGTTGGAAGCCCCGGCTAAGCATGACCATCAGAGTAAAACACCGAACGGGATACAGACGTGCATACATAGATACGCCCGTCGACTCGGCATCTACCGCAGTCGCTCCTAGGGCAAGCAAATACTAATCACTTGAATGACGTGTACGATATAAGGTGGGAAACGGGCCCGAAAAACGTGGAACATTCGAAGGTATTTTGCAGGCACATTGAAGGGTGACATGAGTTGTTGCATGCAACGACCAAGAACTTGTGGGTGCCGGTGAGGACAAAGTTCCAGGGGATGGAGACGTGATGTGTATCGATGGTCTTTGAAGCAGGGGTGTATTCCAACCCCGCACTAAATAGAAGCGGTGATAGCCTAGAATAGATAAAGCATCGACTGTCAGCATGATTAGTACGAGGGAATACACGAACGATGGCAGAACGAGAGGATCCATCGGGCATAAGATCGCTGTATTCCAAGTTTTTTTATTTATCCAGATCGAGGGAGAACCTACAGGCGTGCCTGGGAGGCGTTAGAGAGATACTTTCTCCTCGCTGATGGCCCTTCGAAGTCCACGAGGTCGACCAGCCACGAAATGAATATAGGATCGCGGATATGAGCGGAACGGACCTAAGACTTTTGAAAGTCAACGTTACGTAATCACCTTACTCACATCAAGTTTTCCATTGACCGACTAAGCATATGAAAATACATCGCTTTGGAGTCCATGGAGTACTAATAGCGTTCCATCCGTACCGCTCAAATCGATTTGATCATCAAGGCCTCATGACCTGCTGGCCCCATCCTATCATTCATCTGGGCCGCAGAGAATAGTAACGAATCGTGCGTGAAGAGTAAATGTAGGGTGTGATATCGGCGAGTCATGGAATCATCTGATACCAAGATCAGTTGTTGAGGACGCATGAAACAACGCATCACTGAAATATAACAACGTACATTCAGCGATACCGAGCGTGATGTTAAATCACGAATGCGTGTTTCAGTAGGGTGTCTTCCAAGCTCAGACAGCCGATATTTCGACGAAACTGGGTCATCAGCTGTGAGCACGAAGTATGAAAGAACCAAGTAATGGCAATGATGTGCGTTGGGTATGTATGGCCTATAGAGTAGCATCATCAAAAGATTATGGTATACATACACCTATCAAATTCAGAGTGGCCTTGGAGTCTGTCGAAGCTCAGCGAGATAACCCAAGAGTGAACGAAAGCAACTCATCATCTGTTTGAGTGATCATGAGAGCACCATTGAAGAAGTACTTACGACATGAATGAAAGGCAAAGCAGCGTAGAACCATGTGAGCAAACGAACAAGTGAAGTGAGTAGCTCTGGGTAAGACGAGGAGCAAGTCGTCGTTTAAATAAAGGGACGAGATCGCTGTGAGATCGGAAATATCGTAAAGTGCCAGTATGAAGATTCCGGCGATATGGGACGAATCGAGAAATGCCCGAACGTACGACGAGCGGGAATCTTTATCGGGAATCGGATCGCCGATTTTGTCTAGTAAAAACAAGTTATTTTTTTATTTGAATTTATCTAGATTGAGCGAATTCTCAGCGAGCGATATTGCTCACTTCGTGCTCATTTTGTTGCTCACTACGTATTCATCCGTGCTCATCGTGCTCATCATCGAGCTCATCGTCGGGCTCGTTGTCCATAGGAACGTGTTTTTGGTGAGGCTAGATCCGAGATAGTCCACGTGTTTTGTATTGATTCTCCGCTTTTGTTAGTAAAAACGCAGGGAACGCCCTTCACCCCAGCTGCCTCCTCGTCTTCTCGTTCAAAGTTTCAATTGTCGACGACGTTTGTACGGCTGGCAACTGTTTTATATTTTGTTTTTTGTTTTCAGGTCAATATTAGATCGGGTATCTGGTCTCAGATCGGAGATCTATGGCCTCGCCAGCTCGTCGTGCAAGACCTCAAGTAACAGCCGAAGTTCAAGTCAGACTGCCACCAATAAAATCATTACAACTAGCCCATACGACAACAGAACAAGATACTGTATACCCAACTCCACTAAGCGCCGCATGGCCACCAAATCAGCAATTCGCTCGTACAACTCCCCTAGTACCAACAACACTAGATCCAACAGCCTATCCAACCCCAATCTCTGCACGTCCACACAGAACTTCATATCAACAATTTCAAAACTCTTCCTTTCAATACGTACCACCAACAACCGCAGAAAGTACAACAAGCACAACAAGCTCAACAAGAAATTTCATAGACGACAAGACACTCCCTTTTGCTCACGACAGAACAACTACCTACCCCCGCTATCCACACCCACCACGTGACCCACAACAGCCAGACGATCGAAGCGTGTACACTCCAGCGGAAGCACGCGCCGCCTATAGCCCATATACTCAGGACGCACGTCCTTATTCACAGGACCCGCGCTACACCCAAGACCACCCTCGTCCACCCTATACCACAACTCCCGACCCTAGATACGATGCACGTGCAACCTACCCAGCACAAGATGCGAGGACATACCAAGACCCGCGCTATCCAGATCCACAAAGGGCCTATCCAGCCGATCAACGGGGCTATCAGACAAGCCCTGAAATCGAGAGGACCTATCAGGATCCGCGCTATCCCCCTCAGGATGCCCGTCCAGCCTATGACCCACATGGCCGTCCCTATCCTCAGGAATCAAGGCCTTATGCACCTCCGCCGCAGCCGGCTCCACCGCAGTCCCAAACGCAAGACACGCGATACACCCCCACCCAAGAAGCACGAAATACATACCCTCCACCTGCGCCTCCCTATCCCCCAGCGCAGGATACAAGATCATATGCGCCCCCTCCCCCTGTAGAACGTACTTATTCGCAAACAGAGGTGCGGGGGTATCCGGGGGAAAGGCAACAACAACAGCAGTTAGGTTATTCGCATGATGCGCAACAGGGCAGGGTCGATCAACGTTCGTCTGTGATGGAATCACAGCCACAATCCCAAACACCTCACTCTCATTCACAACCTCAACCTTCACGCGAGCAACGCGGAACGACTTCCAACGATCGTAATTTAGGCGTGGTCGAGCCTCGCGCTGTAGAAGTGAGGCCTGCTTTATTGCAGAGGCAGTCGGCGAGCGATGCGAGACCTGTGGCGGCGGAGACTAGGAGTGGGTTGGAGACACAAGTGAGGGGAGTGGCGATGGAGACGCAGCCGAGGGGTGTGGGTATGGAGACGCAGAGGCCGCCGGCGTTCGAATCACAGAGGCCACCAGCGTTCGAGTCGCAGGTGAGGAGAGCGGGGGTCGAGACACAGACACAGACGCAAGGCAGACAGGCAGTATTTGAGCCTCAGCCGAGGCAGACGAATTTAGAGACGCAGACAAGACCACCGGTATTTGAGACACAGGCGAGACCCACGGCTTTCGAGTCTCAGCCAAGGTCGACGTTTGAACCTCAGAGGCAGACGATGATCGAGTCACAAGCAAGACCGACATTTGAGCCTCAACCACGATCTGCAGTTCTTGAGTCGCAAGCGAGACCCACACCATTCGAGCCTCAGCCAAGACCGCCTATGATGTTGGAAGGTCCAGCGAGATCTACGGGGTTTGTCTCGCAGTCGCAGTCTCAATTGCAGTCTCAAGGATCTCAAAGGCTTGCGGGAGGTGACAGGATGAGCAAGGAAGATGTCATTCGAGAGGTAAGTCTTTCATTCGTCTGTTTGCCTTGTGTTTGAGGGATGAGTATGGACGCGATGCTAACGTTGGTTCTTCAGATCGTTCAGCATTGTACAGCGCTGTATAAATTTGCAGATCATTACTGTAAGTTTCTCGTCTCGTCTCTTTTAATTCTCTTCTACCCTCCCCTCACTCCAATCGAAAGACTAACCTCCTTCCACAGCCACCCTCCAATCTTCCAATCCACATTTCCAACCGCCTGCAGAAGAACTCGCAGAAATGACGGCGCGGGCAGGAGAAGTTGTCCGTCTTCTCGAAGCACTCCGACACGATACACCCATCTTTCCATCCTCCCTCCTCTCGACACCTGCATTCACTTCCCCATCCGGGTCCCACGCACTCGTCTCAGTGCACCCCCACTCCTTAGAAGCAGCCGTGAAAGGACATATGACCTCAAGCTCCAGCTTAGGAATGAACATAATGGATATAGATGCGCCCGATCGGGCGCCGAAGCGGCCTTGGGAGGATGTAGAAGGCATGCTACCTCCTGGGTCTGGGCCTGGTATCGCCCCGTCTTCATCGGCAGGGCATATTCCTATTCCTCTCGCATCTCCGTCGGGGTTAGGAGCGGCGCAGGTTCCTGGAACGGGTACGGGTTTGGGTGTGTCACAGGATCAAGACCGATCGATGGCTGAAGCGGATATGGAACTTATAAGAACTAAGAGGGCGCTAACGACTATGGCTGCTGCTGCTGCGTTGGGTGGGAGTGGGAGTGGAGGGAGTGGAGGGAAGAATAAGTATCGAAAGCGGAGTGTGAGTCGTTTTATATATATATATTACTTGGACGGTGTTTGGTACTGACTGCTGCTGTGCGGTGGATAGCGCGCAACACCTCCTGGAAAGTGTCATTCCTGCAATATTCGGGAGACACCAGAGTGGAGACGAGGACCGGACGGTGCGAGGACGTTGTGTAATGCTTGTGGATTGCGTATGTGATTTTTTTTCAGGTTTTTTTGTGGGATTGGTTGCTGATGACTCTTTGATGTGTTTTTTTTTTTTTGCCACGTGTATTCTAACTCGCTACATTCCAACTCGCTTCAATACCCCATCCTCGCTCGCAGACTACGCGAAGCTTGTGCGTAAGCGCGAGAAAGCGCTCGCAAATGGGGAAACGCCCTCGATCCAGCGCATCGATATGGAGATGCTACGCGCAAGTGCGCGAGCTGCTGATGCCGACAAGGGTGGGCGAGCTGCATTAGGAGGCGGATCTGCCGGTGGAGCCGTCATGAATTCAGTTAGCGGAAACGGACACGGAAGTGGCAGCGGAAGTGGGAGTGGGAGTGGGAACGGCGGAGGAGACGACAAGATGAACCTAGGCATCCATCAAGGCTCGTTCCAGATCAACACGGACGCCGGCGATGCGATGCAGGATCAAGATCCTAATCTGAATTCGCAGTCGAGCGCAGGCGGGACGTATACGCGTCCTCCGCGCCCTGCTCATTCTAAGCGCCCATCGTCGGCTCGGGTGATGCAGTCCCCTATGGGCGGGCAACATCCATCTGCGCATCATCCGTCTGGGCAGACACCGTCCATGCCTCATCATGCGACGCCTTCTGGGACTCATTTGTCGACGCCATCTGTGCAGCACCACCAAACGCCTTCTACGCACCATCAGACGCCATCTGCGCATCACCAAACGCCGTCTGTGCAACACCATCAAACGCCATCCATAAGCCATCACACGGCCTCTTCTGTGAATCATCAAACTGGTAATTCGTCATCGGGATCTACGTCGCGTCACCCACCTGCTGCATCGCATACGCCTGTTGCGCAGCCTGCTTCTCAACAGAATCAAGGGCACCATCAGTCGACCACGCAAGGACATCATCAATCTGCGTCGTCGCAGGGGCATCATCAATCTACTGCGCAAGGACACCATCAATCTACTGCGCAAGGACATCATCAATCTGCATCGGCGCAAGGACATCATCAATCTACGTCCGGGCAAGGACATCACCAACCCTCTGTCCACCACCCTTCGTCTCGGCCCGTACCGCCGCCTACGCCACCTTGGTACCTTCCCCCTGCTAATCAGTCGCATTCGATGCTGAGGCAGTGAAGTTTTGAGAGTTGATAATTTTAGGTCTATCGTTGCCCACAATAAGGAAGGGGTACGATGATAATACATGGGGCTATAGCTATTCGTGCTGATATCACGCCGGGGGTTATAACCATTCATGCTGATCTCACGAGGTTTGTACTCATCAAATCCACCCACATCGGGATTTCAATTTCTTTTGCACTGATCTCACAAACTTGTTTTCCTTGTTGTTCTTTGTATTACGCATCGCACTGTCCGCATCTCCGACTTCTTCCAAGACTTTGCTTCGTTAATGAGCTCTTGTAATTCATTTTATCTTTTGCATCCTCCATCACCCCTGCAACCCACTGTTTGTTCTATATGTATATCGCATATAATGATTTGGTTCAGTAATGAACTTGTAATTTTTTTGGCTGCTGCCCAGGGTACCATGCATGATACGATGATACATGTTTTTTCCCCCTCTGATTGATAGTTTTTCTATTCGAATCATAGTGCATAGTGTATTTATATTACCCATCGGTGATTCAAAAGTCAAGATCCAAGAAGTCGCTCAAGATCTAGATTGATCGGGGTGGAAGCTGAAGTATAGAAATCTCGATCGATTGAGGGCGTCAACATGTCATTCTCGAAAACGTGGCATCTAATCGATCTTGGAGATCTTTATCGTGCTTTATCAGATCTTGTCCGCATGTCAGTCATGGAATGTTGACTGCTTGTCTGATTTAGTTCGTACGTACTGAGTACTATCTTTGCTGGATATTCTCAGGCCATGCAGAATTGTCAAAGATGTATTCACCATCGAGTGCGTTCCCTGAGGAATTTGGAGAATTTGTTGGAGGCGCGCGCACTACTTATATCGTAGCAGCCCTCGACTTCCCAGGTAGTTTACAAGGAGTCCGGACCTGGATGTCTGACGTTGAGCCTTGACTTCTTTTTAAAACCAGGAAGCTCGAACTGAGCTAACAGATTTCAAGTTCATACAGAAATGTTCCCACGCATCTTCTCTCTAAGCGCGCCATATTGACACTGGGTACAAATCATGTTTGCCATCTGGAATGATTGAATCCTAGTCGATGATCAACATACGCAAGTGTCTGTTTGCTTACAAAGGCTGCATTCTCATCATACTTATATGCTTGTCCCCTGCTTGGTGCATCTTGTGTTGGTTTTGTATCGCATCCGATCTAAAGTTGGTTTTCAGGTCAAGCCTAATTCACTCATACCACAACAAGTTTTTTCTCAACATTTTCGCAGTCTCAGCACTAATGTAAACCTTCACCCTTACTTCTGCCGCGTCACGCGTCAATCTTCTTCCGTGCCACGTCAAGCCTCACCATTTCAACCATCACATCTACGCCTCCTCAGTGTCGCGTCACACCTACTACATGCTGCGTCAAAACTCACACCATGCGTCACTGCGTTAAAACTCACACCATGCGTCACCACGTCAACCGTTCGTCACAGCACAACGACAGACATTACTGTTCAGGACAAATTTCACTTGCTTTGAGCCTTTGCTGCAGCTCAAATTCTCGATAGGTGTGTGATTGGTAGTGACGCTATCAATTACGCACCTATCAAGAATTTGATGCCACATCTTTGGAGTCTGCAGACGAGTCATCCAAAGTTGTAGTTCCTTCGCTGCCGGCTGAAGAGTGTGCGCCTGTTAAACGTCGACGTGCTTCGCAGAAGATCCAGAGAGGAAGGAAAAGAAAATTATGCGACCCTGTTGTGGATAAAATGACGAAGGGATGGTCATGGACCCGTGCAACTTCATCTGGCAGTGGAATGTAGAACTTAGCCACACAGAGGGGCCTATTTTGATGCGACGACTATGCGAGTCACGTAGTTGTCACGATCACCATCAAAATAGCTACGCCCCTCTCCTGCCCATAGACTCTGACCAATGAGTACCCTTGGGCTCATACGTCGCAACATATCGCGCCCTGTCAACTTCCCAGCGTATAGGTAACCGTGCTTTCCTTTCTATACGACGAGTCGTGTTGACGATGGCTAGATTTTCAAACACCAATCAATCTGACATCGAGCTCACAGTTGAAGCACGCCCTATATATTAGAACCGTCATTGGGAGAACCAAATATCTTCGCCAGAAGTTTACCAGGATATGCCGATGTTGGAGAGAGGTTGCCGCGGATATGCCCTCCTTGTGGTGCAGACTATCCGTGGACACCAACCACGCTACTGGCAGAAACTGGCTGGGCTAACGCATCTCTGGTGTAGTCTCTCGTCACCATGAGCTCAGTATCCACGAGCAGCTTCACATCGTGAGATATTTTGGACCCCTTCATAAACACACGTCGACCGCCGTGCCCTCGAGAACCGGAACTTGAGGAAGTTCACGGCGAGTCGGATTATTTAAAAATTATCTGATTGTTAATCTCATCCTCCAGTCGCTTATAATGACACTGCACAATGCCCTGACGCTAGCATTGGGCTTTGGCACAGTGATGGGACATGAGATCCAATCACCAAGTACCACGTCTTTGAAGGTGATTACTGCTCTCGAGTATGGCAACGACACGCTCTGGAGCTCTGGGTACGTGGCAGAAGATAGCCCGTTATGCCAAGAAGTTATCCTGATGATCACGCGCAGTCATGCTCTCCCTCAGTCCAGGTACGCAGGTATACCTCTCGATTCTCCAGTCGAAGGAGGGTCTGTATCAGGCACGCGGATATAATGACTGAGATTTTAGTCTATGCTTCGATTGCAGAGTATGACAGAAGCACGAGCCATTCGGCTTCTGGACAGAGTGGGTGACCGGTCGCGCAGCAACAGCCTTTGATTCAAGAAAACATTGCTACATAGAGATGTTGATGCTCTGACGGATAGCAGACTTCCCGTACCACTACTTCAACGCAGCCTTCGTAACCAGTCTTTGCTTAGGTTCGAGTACACCATCCGCTGCTACAAAAGGCTGCGGAGTTCCGCCGGTCTCGACAAACGCTCACTTTCAAGTCGAAAACTTAGGCGTATAGGAGGCGGTAACCCTGCCTCATCGAGTTCATTATACACCGAGCTCGCCTTAATCTCCGACAGGTAACCATACTTGAGGCTTGTCGACGTCATAATTGCTTGGTTGTCTGTCGTGAATCGTGACATCATGCTCATTGACAACTCCAGCAGAAGCGAAAACTTCCGAGACTGAAGCTGCAATGGTTCCAGCACACAACCCTCCTCCCTGATAACCCATTTGTTTGCATGTCGTCTCACAGTCATCTGAAGGTGGGCCACTCCTTGTTGCCGGTCGTCAACGTCTTCTACTCGGACAGCACTCACCGGTTGGAACGTCAACTCACAAACTTATCTACGGGAGGGATCTAACTAGCGGATGTTTCATATTGGTCCTCATTGGCTAAACGTTTTGCAAAGGGACCACATCGAGTTGTGTTGCGCTCCGACTCCCATGAAGTCGTAAATTTTGAAACTCAAGAGTCGGTTCTACTTTCTGGTTATAGAAGATGCACCACATTTCAAGATGTCTGGCTTATATAGATCTTAATGTTACAGAATTGACGAGAGTTATGCTAAACACAAGCTCATCTTTTCAGAATTACGACAAAGACACTAGCGAGTGAGATAATTGATGTTCTTGAAAGTGTGCTGCTGAAGGTCCGACGCTTTGTGCCGCAAAGCCGTGGCATTTCTCGCATCTTGCAAAGTACAACCACCTAAACTCCGCTTGCAGTGTGGCACGTTCGGCAGACTTCGGCATTCAGAACTGCAGTATCATGATGAAATTCATCAACAACACCCGTCTGAGTCTTCATTCATAGATTCATCGTTCCGCTATCAATGCAAACCACACAACTACTTCATGGCTGGCTCAAGCTACCGCCACTAGCGAAGTCTGCGTTTGAACGCATTCTTCAGAACTTCCAGAATGTTGAACTTTGTATCAGGTAAGTGCGGAACTTCGACATGTAAATAACATTCAAATAAGTCTGAAATTGCAGAATCACGCGCTTCTCGATGACACCACTACTGAGGGATTCTGCTAAACAGGTTCTGTAGTGAAATCCTGCAGGCCATTCAACGTTCATCGCCAGACTTCCACTGCAGCTAGGGCCGCCCACTTACTCATTTCCTGCATGAGTGAATTTCATGAGACTTGAACGTATCTCGACGCAATGAGCCCCGGGCCTAGTCACATCTCAAGTCAACGTAGTCACATCGAAGCCTTGCTATTTGTTCGCCTCCGTGATACCGTCAGAATAACGTTTTGATGTTTTGATACCGACCCACATATAAAACGGCCCAACTGGAAGGATGTAATCAGGAAGATGGTTCCCTCCAGGTTGCTTTCATCTCTCCTTGCCCTGCCAGTGCTTGCCTTTTTCTCGCTGTCAGCGAGCGCTTTGCCTCGTCCTCGGACAGCGTCAAGCACAGCTGCTCTCAAGCTCGCCGTCAGAATAAACTCGTACGGGATCAAGAACATCGCAGCTGCAGATCGAGCTCGAATACAAGTCCTACAAGCTGGCGGCAGCGCTTCCGTCAATGCAACCAATACTGTGACAACATACACAGCTAGCATTGGCGTAGGGAGTCCAGCAACGTACTGTGAGTTGATTGTGCTCCTGCAATTATTTCTCTGACGCATTGTCAACTTCTACAGACACACTTCTAGTAGACACCGGAAGCTCGAATACCTGGATTGGGGGCAACAAGGCTTACACGCAGACTACCGCGAGCCGGGATACGCTCAATAAATTCGTGAGCATTTTTTTTATGTGGCACATGCATTTTGTCAAACTGTCTGCAGAAAGTTCCATACGCCGATGGGAGTTCTGTTTCTGGGGAAGAATACACAGATACCGTAACGCTCAACTCTGATCTGGTCATCGAGAACCAATCTATCGGCGTCGCATCTAAAACCTCAGGGATGGGTGGTCTGGATGGAATTTTTGGCCTTGGACCGGCTGATTTAACGCAGGGCATCGTCGATGATGCATATGAAGTCGCAACTGTGATGGACAACCTCTATACGCAGAAACAAATTAGCTCGGAAGTACTCGGAGTGTTCTTCGCACCTGCTTCCTCTGATGATAGCAGTGGAGAACTCACATTCGGGAGTTATGACGCCTCAAAAATTACTGGAAGCATCAACTATGTGCCCATCACATCGGCATATCCAGCGAATACATTTTGGGGCATTAATCAATCCATCAGATATGGGTCTACGCCCATTTTGGATGAGACAGCTGGTATCGTCGATACCGGAACCACACTGATTCTCATTGCGTCCGGTGCGTGTCTTGTATAACATCAGAACCTTTCTCTAATCCACTATTCAGATGCTTTCAATTTATATCAGTCTGCGACGGGGGCAACTCTTGATAAGACCACTGGCTTGTTACAGATCTCCCCCGACCAGTACGAGCAGCTCTCATCTTTGTATTTCACTATTGGTGGAATTACATATGAGCTCACCCCGAATGGGCAAATTTGGCCTCGATCGTTGAACAGCGCCATTGGCGGTACCACCGACAACATATATCTGGTGGTCAGTGACAGTGGAGACAGCAGCGGTTCTGGCTTGGATTTTACGAACGGCTACTGTTTCCTGTACGTTGTGCTGCATTTTTACCGGGAAAATCAATTGCTGATCTATTTTTACACAGCGAACGGTTCTACTCGGTGTACGACACGACAAATTCCTAGAGTCGGGTTCGCCACCACTGAGTATACGTATGCCACGACAAATTAGACTGTCTCTTCTCGAAAGATCACGGTTCTACTCGTATGAACATATTTAGCCGATATACCTCAGGCTTAATTCAATTTCTTGTGTCTAATGTGCATCGGGGCATGGGTGAAAGCTATGGTGGTGCTATGGTAAAACCAAGCGGACTCTGATCATGACCGTTTTCTTGAATGTATGCTCTGAATAAGGTTAGCCCCAGGATGTCCGTTGTGTGGCAAGGTTATAAGAAGTATAAAGCCTTAGCGGCGGGTAGCGGGCCACTGGCGCCTGACACCCATGCCGATTCAGAGCGGGCGGACTTGGTGTCAAGTATGTACTGTTTCGAGATTTCTCCACAGATCTAATTGATTGATCAGGGCGGAAACAAAGTTGAATCTACAAAGTGTCAAAGTCAACTAGAATAGAAATCCCGATCGATCTCAGATCATGGGATGACATCATTATCTTTGTGTGGTCCGACTTTGCGGTGCAGTGTCAAAGGTTAGATCGATGTTCACCAGCACTCGGGGGAATTGCTAGTTGAGGAGGTACTTTGATTTGAATACAAACAATATAAGGTGGTGTATCTATCATACATCAGCTATCATACACTAGATCTGCACTATAACGTCCTAACGATACAGATTTGAAAAAATATCACCGCGTCTTCACGCGATCGTAACACGCTGAGGTTGCTGGTCCCGTCCAGCCTTCGGGAAGCTAACAGTGAGCACTCCGTCCTCCATCATCGCGTGGACATCCTCAGCCTGTTTACAGAATCGTCATGAGCACTGAACCACTGCACCAGACTTATGGAGTCAGCGTACTCACCTTGATTCCTTGAGGAATCTGAAGGGTCCTGGAGAACTTGCCATATGAACGCTCTTGCACCACATAACCGCCCTTGTCATAGTTCTCCGAACGCTTTGACTCTCCGAAGATGGTCAAGCGGTTTCCGTGGACCTCTACGTTGACATCTTCTTGTTTGAGACCAGGAAGCTCGAATGTCGCAGTTACAGTCTTGGTCTCGGTGTTCTCATGTAGGTCCATCCTGTGTTCGTGCGAGTCAGTATCATCAAGGGTTGAAGTCATGAAAATTATCACGCTTACCTGGGGAACGCCCGATCCCGGCGAGTCAAAACAGTACTACCCTCGTGGTTAGGGAAGGGACGTAAGCGAGCATTGAAAGCATCGTCAAATAGCTTGTCGAGCTCTGAGGGATTGTAGAATGTGCACATAAGAGACATTATTGTGATAGGTCAGAGAAGGCGCTTTGGTGAGTTGTTGAAGGCTGCATAGGCGACACTGGCGAGGAGTTATATAGGCGTCATGAATGAGTAAGAGGATGTTCTCGAAGTTACTTGGCGTTCTAGGTATGTGTCGATTGTCATTCTGCAACGTTCGAGAATATCGAATTCCTTATTTGAACGCAAGGCGCCTGTGTATAGGTATTTGGTTTATCACAAAAAAGGAAAGATGGATCGATTATCGACGACTGATCTTTGGATTTGAAAATTCGATAAAAACAATTGCTGGCCATGGAGTCCATTGCAATTGATTTTTGTGCAAAAACAGTGGACAAATCCGGACTCGAACCGGAGACCCCCCGCACGCTAGCACCATGCTAAGCGGATGTGATAACCAGCTACACCATATGCCCTGTTATTGATCACTTCCGCTGGTCCTAGATAACTCTAGAAACTTCGTTGTACGCAACCTTCTAGCAACGTGGGCAATGTGGTTGTCACATACCCTCAGTGGCTCATTCGTTAACGAATCTCCGAAAGTTCCATCTGATCTTGAAGATTAATATTGGAGGTCTTGTACCTGAGTCCAAAAAGATACGAAGGAGATGTGAGTGCAGTTCATGGGTCATGACTCTACTGGACCTCTCATAGTATGACCATGAGATGCGACATATCCGAGTATGATATATGATACTTCAACTTGCCATGCCTGAGGGTTTAGGAATACACGCTTAAAATTGTTACATAACAGTAACTCTCTCCCACGTGCAGACTCAGACGTGCACCTTGAAGCTTGAAGCTCGATACCTGCTTAGTGCTTCGTACTACACATTCACATGTCGTTTAACATCTCGGTGTCAGGCTCTCATCCAACTCCAACTTCCATTCCTGGCGGAGTAAAACGCCACCAGAAGAATATCGCTCGCAAAACCACTGGACGCCAGCCTCCAAGGAAACAGGTAGCTTTTTTCAAGTCTGCACAAGTGCTACGCTGACTCTAAGAAAATATTCAGTATGGGGAGGCATTCAAGAGCGATGAACACGTATCTTCCGATGGATCATCGTATTTCTCAAACTCAAGCCCAGACGCAGAAATTGTCTCACTTTGCTCCAAATTTGCCGACTGGCTCGACAGCCTCCGCGAGAATGAAACGGATAATCGCATCATAGAGGCTGTCGAGCGGGACGGAGGAAAGTTCTTTCACCTGATCCGATGTGTGCTCGACTACGAACGCGCCTTACGAGGATTTGAGGATCACTCAGACATGGACGCGGAGACTTCAGGACGTATCGGTCACCGCACAAGAGCCCTGCGTAACTTTGCTGATCTTTTGGGTGCCAGAGCACGGGATGGTATACCTATTTCACTATCGCTTGCGATCGAACGGGACGGAAGGCAACTATTCCGTCTGGCAAAGTGCTGCCTAAGTTTCAATAGTGCAATTAACGGCGAGGGTTCTGAGAGCCCATGACTATCATATGTACGTATCATTTTCGTTCGCGATGTTTGAGGACTGACAAGGAGGAAGAATCATACGATTCATCTGGGTGTATTTTGATTAGAGAATTTGAACGTTTTGTGGTCTCTTCGTAACATGTTTATGATACAATGTCGTATAATTTGACATGCATGTGATTGTCAATATAAGTTGGTGGATCTACCTTCAAGGCTTCAAACGATTTCGAAAGAGAACATAGCTTCTCGATAAGAAATTCGACAAGGTGCTCTTTGAGCGCTATTCAGAGTTAGAATCGCAGATCGACATGCCAATGTTATTGAGAAGTCTTATCAACCCCCAGGCGTTGATTCCAATTATGTTGATGAAATTGACATCCAGCTATAGACCACTCATGCACACGCGGTGTCCATCAGAACACGACCAATTTTGATCTAGATCGAGATCAATTTCAACGTGAGGACGCTCGCTAGCTCCTTGTAAATAGATTTCTGAATTGCTCGAACTCAAATAAAGACTGGTTGCAAAGGGTGCGTTGAATGTACTCACTAGCGATTTTCTCAAAGTTGTTTGGATCAAAGGCTTTTCTGCGTCATTATTCACATGCCCTGTCTAGAAGCCACAATGGCTTGGTCTCTTCTGTCATATTCTGCAATCAAAACATAGACTAACATCTCAGTCATTATATCCGCGTGCCCGGGACAGACCCTTCTTCGACCGGGGAATTTCGATTCCCTGCTCCTTCCAGATCTCAATCTGGCGATCTTTCGCCACCTTGCCTGTACGGCTCTCATAGTCTGCAACAGACTCAGGTTTCTCGCCATGAGGCGTAGCTCTGAGTGCGTGGCGAGTTTGAGGCCAGAAATCGAAAGTCGCGGTGTGAGCGACAATCTAGTATCTGGTCAAACTCTGCGCTCTTCGTGAAATATGGACAGCACTGACCCTGTTGTCCCAGAACGCGACTGAATTCGGCTCCCAGTGGAAGCGCACTTGGAAGTCAACATTCTCGGCCACCTGGTGGAACAAGAAACTGAGAATGGTGTCGGATTCAGGTTTGGGGACACCGAGTATGCGACGAGTGAAGCCAGGGTTGACATAAACGCTCTTCCAGCCAGTCACTGGGTGGACACGAACGACAGGATGTATGGTTTCGACGGGTTCGCGACGGACGTGGAGGCCAGCCGCACGAGATCCATCTGCCTGCGCGACTGCACTGTGCAGAGCTGTAAGACCCTCGAGGTATGCCTGCATGCCTGGACTGAGGGAGGAATAAAGAGCATAACTGTACGTGATTATGATCATCAGGATAACTTGTTTGTACAATGGGCCATATTCTGTTACTTACCCAGAGCTCCAGAGCGTGTCACCGCCATACTCAGGGCCAGTGATCACCTTCAAGGACGTGGTACTCGGCGGTTGGATCTCATACGTCACATCGCTGTGCCAAAGCTCGATCTTCGAGAAAGCACTACTGTCAGGGCGTCGTGAAGCATCATTGTAAACGACTGAAGGATGAAATTAACAGTCACGCAGTTTTTGGAACGATCTGACTCACCGTGGACCTCCTCAAGTCCCGGTTCTCGAGGGATGGGGGTCGTTGCGTGCTTATGAAGGGGTCCAAAGTGTCTAGCAATGCCAAGCTGCTCGTGGATGCTAAGCTCCTGGTCTCGGAAGACTACACAAGGGATGCGTTAGTTAGCCCAGTAAGAGATCATTTAGGTTCACTTACAAACAACACCTCTCTCTGCAACGAGAAGGGCGCTGGCAAGATAAACTCGTTAAAACATAGCTGCAGTCAAATATTTGGCACCCACAGTTCGTCCTTTTGCTGATTCGTCAGCTGCCGGAGGTCGACGCCAACGAGCTCTGTGCCAATGGCGGGTGTAAGGTGTTTCACTTTCTGTGCAGCACCGAAGAGAGCAGCCTTGCTTGAGTCTGCAAAGAGGCCACGGTCGGTGACCTCGATTTCTGTGAGTGGTTCCCAATCCAAAACGGGGAAGTGGGGCTTGGTGAAGGATCAGTGTTTGGCTGTGAGATCGGACTCCAAAGTCTCTCACCTTGTACTTGGCATATTGGTAGTCATCGTCGTTCTCGTTACCAGCACTGGGTGAGTAGAAGGGATTTATGATACGAGTGTCCTCGATCGGTTTATTGGCTTGAGCTTTCTTCAACTCTGCAACAGCGCCGACGGTTCCGTTGCCGCTTTCCTCAGTGGTAGCTACCGGTGCCATGTTGACGTGATTTAGAAGGGAAGAATATAACGTCAGCCTCTGCATTGCATATTCCTCGACTTTATACAGGAACTTGACCGGAACGAGGAGGTCAGGCGACCTCTTAATGAGGAATGTGATGCGAGTCGAAGGTCTTATTGCGCAACCATATTACAACTCACTTCCCTTTTTGGATGCCATATAAATGGCCATCGATAGATCTCTGCATACTTTGACGGACGACTCGATTTCAGAGGTACCTTCGGCTGTATGGCAACGCTTCCATCGTGATGATCAAGGTAATAGTAAATTTGCATAATCTTGCAGTGAGTTGCGACACTTGGATATTATGCTTGCGATAACTCTTGCAGTCACATGTTAGGGCTTCGCATTAAATTTAGAGAAAGAAGAACATACAAGCAGCCACAGCTTAAATGTCCATCTTGTGACGGTCTAGATTTGGCGTCAAGTATATCACAGTACCTGAGCGGCTCCCGTTGTAGCACAGCAAGTGATCAGTACAGATATCGATAGAAGCCTGCAGTTCTAGTCTATACAATTATATGTAACGTCCTGTCCAATCAATCATGAGGTTGGCTCTGAGACTAGGAATCCGACCAGGCATGCATCAAGCATGAAATCCGCGTTTACCCATGCGTGCGTCAGAGCTACATTCTCCCGTTCAATGGTGTAACCTATACGAATATACGAATTTACTCACAAAACAACTTAGTTCCATCTCTACCCGCTACTCTCATGAGCTCCTTCTCACCACCTGGGTGATATGGGAGGTAGGGTGTGATATTATATACCTTCCCATTGATCGCTGTCCAAGCATCCTCTTTCTTGTTGTGTAGCTTAAGTACAGATGGTGGGATGCGTATTAATGCATCAACTCCCTGATTAAATTTCACTACACAGTACTAGAGATGCACCGACTTGCTTACGCGTAAGTTCTGGCCAGATGCTTTAAGATTTCCCCAATCAAGAGGACCAAATCCAGGCGCTAAAGCCACTTTATCTCGTTTGGAAAGTCGTTTGGGTGGTTGAGTCGTAGTCATAGGTGCAAGAAGAAATGATGAACTCTGTGGAGGCGGAACACCTGGTCGACGTGTAGCAAGGCCGGGCACAGGCGGCGGGGGCATTAATGCAGAGTCAGTGAGTATGCTTGGTACGTTGAATCCACTGGATGAGTTTGAAGATGACGAAGGTGAAGTAGCAGCACGTTGTGCACTGTTAATTGCAGGGAAAGCGGGCGGTTCGTCGTTTTCACCTGCTGTATCGGACCCATCGTCCTCATCTTCTTCATTGACTTCAGGGACTGAAGATGACTGGTTTGAGTAGGAGTCGTTGGGTTCAACATCGATCGCAGAGCTTGAGGTATCAAGCGAGAACCAACCACGCAGATATGACATGATGTAACCAATATTGAAGATAAGAACCAGTAGAAGTTCTCCTCCATGTACCTAAGATGGAAATCGGCGGCAACTGCCGCGACCAGGTCGCATCAACCTGCAGTCAATAGCGGTGATCAGGCGGAAAGCCGATAATTTCAACTTGCCATTTGGTGCAGGCGATTCACGTATTCCAGTAGCTAGAGATACAACAAGAAATGGATTGGTATGCATAAACCTTAATTTCAATATGCTTGGAAACACCATATGTTAAATAAATACTACGACGAATCCTCGACTAAATTTCTCCTCCCTGCAGACCACTCGCCATGTATGTCCCTACACAGTACTGCTAGTCGTTACATGTACATGCTCCTGGAAGACAATCGAATTCATGCTAGTTTCTGCATCAGAGTTGGCCACGAGTTTAGCGTGATATTCTCGAACGCTGAGGATAAGGCATGGTCCCAGCACAAACATCTGCACGCTCGTTAAAATTTCAAGAGCACCTTGGAGTGTCACAACTCCGGTAGCATATGAAGTCTGCAGAAACGGTGAGCAATGTTTACACGCAGATGTCAGCGACAGGTCAGCGTACAGATATCTTTGGGGATAGAGAAGCAAGCTGGAGGCAAGAGACACAAACAAAGCTACCATGTGCGGAACTTTAGCAGAAGACTATGACCACAATTACATGACAAGTTCACCTTGCAAAATAAAGCACATGAGATTCTATCACCACTTTGAAACAGTCTTCAATGTTCGTTCCTGTCGATTGGCTGAGTCTTCGCAGGTCACGGAAGTGTTTCACAGCAACCCAGGCTGAAAGACACAGTACGAGGACTTCCCAAACAGTGTAGAGCGTCCGAATCATTGTAAACAGAAGCCAGCTGTTACCATCATATGCATAATTACACATACATATACCAGAGAGTATCAGCTCCTCTGGCATTCGTCCAATGAGCTGTGTTCTTCAAGTGAACAGGGAAAGCTTACCCGCTACACTATCCTTGAGTCCTATTGCCAGCATCACCCAGCAGGTGATGTTTACAGCCAGGAAGATAATAACAAGGAAGAGAAGCATCAATCTAGATCCCTGATACATGGCATGCAACCGGGCAATCATGATGACTTGCGTCATGTTTCAGTCAAGTCAATATCACCGAGGTATTGCAGCTGGGTAACTCACCGCCCAACATGGCGGTGACAACCACAGTTGTCCCATTGTATGTGTAGTATGTAAAATTGCCTGAAACACCCAATCAGTGATCGGCCTCGGGTATTAGTATCAAACACCGACTCACACCTGTGTAGTCATTATGTCAGGCCAGGCTCAATGTTCGGAATCTCACTCACCCCTACAAATCAGTGCATTCATTGAAATGGTTGTATACTACTCACCACATTTCCCAGTGGGACCAATGGCACGCTTTCTGTGTGCTGCTGGTCAGAAGAATCGAACACAGCACATCTGACACATACGTAGAATATCGATACTAATCTGAGCATTAGCACGGTGCTAAGTTGTTGGCCTCGACACATACACAGAATATGGTATTCCAATATAACGTATCTAAAACATTTTGGAGTCAGCACAACTTGCCAGCCACGCTATAGCACAATGAGGTACGAACAAGCAAATACAGCACACTCATGAGAGACCGTCGTTGCTTCTGTCGCAAATTTGTAGTATTTTCTTCTTTCTGCTGATACGGGACTCTAGTCACTTACCCAGATCAATTCAATCTATGACACGATTCTTAGCGAGTTGGCTGCTCTGGCAATAATATCGACCTGCCAAAATCCCGCCACAAGACCCTTGATCAGGTGAAGTAAGCATTGCGGTGCGAATGATAGTACATTGAAAAGAAGCCCTCAATAATCAAAGTAGATTTTGATCTCCTTACGCAGCGACTACTTGAATACCAGGAAAGTTCCAGTCATTGGCGATGTCGGCAACTAATTTCCAACGATGGCATCCTGGCCTTTAACATGCTCAGCAATGTCATGGGTATGCTATGAAAGTTGCACCGTAGCCTGATTATTCCGCGTTGCACACGCTGTGACACGCATAGCCGCCACAGTCCGAGAAGTAGATCATCTCATAGCCCCGCCATTTCACTATTCCCGATCCAAAAACTGGATGATAGATGCAGATACCAGACACGATAGATCGGTGATACCGGCATAAAACATGGTACGAAAGATACGGGACCTCCGAGATTTGTTGGTCAATGGTTGGCAACGTCGTCGCAACGAGAGTGTTTTCGGTGTTTGCCGAGACTCGATATAACCGTGACGGCTGCGGTTGTCCAATCTCTGTCTTATCCGGTCCATCTCTATGTGTGTATTATGATATATGAGACTAAAGTCTTGCTCCTCCGACAGACCCTCCAGACACAATCTTCCCTGCGCCTAAGGACATTCTGCTAGTGCTCTGAAGGCCACCCTTTCCCAATCTTCTTTTGTGCTCAGACAGATAATATTGAGTTTTTTCCTCAAAACGGAATTCTTCCTGCGTCGCCTATCTGAGCACAGACGCGTTGTTTTCCTTTTCCTACCCAGTCCTGAAATTTACTTGAGCTAAACTAGTAACGAGCAACCGCGTATGTACGCGTGTCCGTCGACACGCGTCCTTCTTGTCTTCTTCCTTTCTGCTTACCCACTCACCACTCCCCTTTTAATTTTAGTGTCTTGGTAGTGTCGTGCTTTTCCGAAAACCTCACTTAGTGCTACCTCAAACTCGAGAGTTTCGTCTGCTTTTCCCTGTCCGTATCTTCTTCTCACTTTTCCCTTAGTGCAGGCGTATTTCCGGCTCACTACTTTCACCTCGACAGATAATATTGGTCTGGAAACCCCAGCAAAATTTGATTCAGACCGTCGCCAAAACGCCCACCCCCAACTGACGAACAACTGTCTCTGTCAGTGCCAAGTCTTTGTTCCCACATCCATGTTTCATCTCAATGTCTCTTCTACAGCCTAGTGCCACATCCCAGTTCATTGCAGTAACGTCTCGCTACTTTCAGTTACCGATTACATCATTGTTTATATCTCAATTTTACTTTCCTGTCAACAACGCTTGCAGAAAACGCACAAGTACTCTATCTTCGTCCTTGTGCGTCATCTCACTCTTTCACATAAGCTCATGCTCATGCTGTGATAAACTCTTCGATGTCATGTTATCTGGAATTTATGAATCATGATCATTCTTTTTACTCGAAGGCGAAGTAGCAGCACGTTGTGTGCTGTTGCACTTACCATGCTCGATGTTCTTACCTCGCGCATTCGTGATATATAAGCTGTCAGTTCCTTCTTAAAATCTATCACGCTCAATATCGTTGAACTTTGCATAACACACAGACGATCGTCATTGATCTATCTCAGCCACGTGTTCGTTGTAACATCTGCACTGACTGATCTGGATATCGTATGTTTTGTACTCCGAAGAATTCGTGGATTTCCTGTCTGTGATCCTGAATGGATTTCGATGCACGGTTTGGGTAGTGTGCTGTGGAGTTGCTGGGTGGGACGGTTATTGGTACTCCAGAGCGACTGTGATACATGTGTGTATCTTCAAAATTCAGATTGTCGGTTCGCAGTCACTTCTAGAGTCAGTTGTGTCGTTAATTTATACTGATTCTCGTTCGTTTCAGTATCAGACATTGAGGACTGGGTTGGCTGCGAGACGTTCAGAATAATTTCGGCTCATTTGGTACAAGTGTGGGCGGGCGGTTCACTGAATTCCAGTAGAGATACGACAAGAACTGGATTCATATACATTTAGATATGCTTTGAAACGCCGTATGTCAAATAAACACTACGACGGATCCTCGACCAACGTTCTCCTCCCTGCAGACCACTCGCTATGTGTGTCCTTACACAGTACTGCTAGTCGTTACATATACACGCTCCTCGAAGACAATCGAATTCATGCTAGTTTCTGCATCAGAGTTGGCTACGAGTTTAGCGTGATGTTCTCGAACGCTAAGGATAAGGCGTGGTCCCAGCACAAACAGCTGCAAGCCCGATAAGATGTAAAGAGCACCATCGAATATCTGAGTTCCAATAGAACTCGAATTCTGCAGAAACGGTGAGCAATGTTTACACGCAGATGTCAGCAACAGGTCAGCGCACGGAGATCTCTGGAGATATAGTGGCTATCTGGAGGCAAGAGACCCAAACAAAGCTAGCACGCGCAGGACTTTAGCAGAAAACTATGACCACAATTACATGGCAAGCTCACATTGCGAAATAAAGCACGTGAGATCGAATCAGCACTCTAAAACAGTCCCCGAAGGTCCTTCCTCTCGATGGACCAAATCGTCGCAGGTCACGGAAGTATTTCACAGCAATCCAGGCTGAAAGAGACAGTGCGAGGACCTCCCAAACAGTGTTGAGCACCCAAATTATTTGAGTAAGAAGCTGGACATCCACATCATATACATAATGGCACATATACATGCCGGAGAGTATCAGCTCATCTGTTGTTTGTCAAATGAGCTGTGTTCAGGTTCTTCAAGTCAGCAAGTAAAGCTTACCTCCTACCGTGTCCTTGAGTACTATTGCCCCTATTACCATGCAGGCGATGTTTACTGCCAAGAACGTGATAACAAGGAAGATAAGCATCGTTCTGGATCCCTGATACATGGCATGTAACCGGGAAATCATGATAACTTGTATGATGTTTCAGTTGAGTCAATATCACAACGGTATTGAGCTAGGTAACCCACCACCCAACATGGCAGCTACGACCACATTTGTCCCACCTATTACGTAGGATGCCATATTGCCTAAAAAACCCGATAAGTGATCGCCCTCAGGTATTAGTATCAAACACCGACTCACACCTGTGTAGTCATTATGTTGAGCCAGGTTCAATATTCCGAATCTCACTCACCCCTACAAATGAATGTATTCATTGGATAGGAATGAGATGGTTGTGTAATACTCACTGCATCTCCCAGTGAGACCAATGGCATTGTTGCTGTGTGTCGCTGGTCAGAAGAATCGAACACAGCACATATAAGACATACGCAGAGTATTGATACTAATTGTCAGAGATGAACATTAGCGCGGCGCCAAGTTGTTTGCCTCGACACATACGCAGAATACGGTATTCCAATATAACGTATCTAGAATATTTCGGAGTCAGCACGACTTGCGAGCCACGCTATAAGACAACTCGAGGTACTAACAAGCAGATACAGCACGGTCATGAGAGACCATCGTTGCCTCTGTCGCGAATTTGTTGTATTCTCTTTTATACAAGACTCTCGTCACTTACCCAGATCAACTCAATCTATGACACGATTCTTAGCGAGTTGGGCTCTGGCAATAAGATCGACCTACCTCTTGTCCAATCGTTAGCACTGGAAATATTATGAGAAGATCAGCAGTTTTCAAATACTGTCCTGCTCACCCCAATCGTATACCACCACGACGCCGGCGGCAACTGCGAAAGCACAAGTCAATGTTAGATCTAGAGATCTTGAATCTTGATGCGACAAACCCATCCAATAGCTATTAACAATTTCGAGATTGATTATCGGCCACACACTGGGACCATTCATGACTACGGTCATATTCGAGGATGAGTATGGGCGAATGGGGAATGTTGGTGGTGTATAACGATAGCGTTCAACCTGCTAGATATACTACTGCTAAAATCAACATGACGGAGATTCGGATGCTTTGATCCCTTGATGGTGAAGTGATTTCAAATTACAACCTTCGGTGTTTGCCGAGTCCGTTGTGTTGTCGTCCCGTCTTCTGTGTACGATTGGTATTCGTATGTGTTGTTGTACAAAGTACGAGTTGACAATGATCCGTGCACGACAGGTAGCGGAGTTCTGAGTTTATCGGAGGACAAGTAGTACAAGTGTGTATACTGCGGAACAAACCGAAATATTGAGATTCCCAATTTTCCATTCTAAGCATCATCCAATTCCTAAGTTCTGATACATTTACTGCGGGGCTGGACTTTGTTCGCCGCAAGGAACCACTTTCTACTTGTCCCAGACTGACAGCCGCCATCATCGGAATCACGCTTCTCTTCGGAACTTTATTTTCCTCGTGATCATCATGGATAGGCTTGATTCTTCTGATATATTGTGCTCTTTATTGGTCGCCCCAACAGCCTAAGACATAATGTTCCTACCAAAAATATTTGAGTGTGTCCCATCTTTACCCTTCTTCGCCTTCAACTCCACTTCTGCATCATGGGCACGATCATAGTACTGGGAGCGATCAGCCCATCGATCCACGAATCATTCATTATGACGTTCAGAGGTAGGCTTTTTCTATGAAATTTCATCCAGGATAAGCTCTAACTCAATTGTAAGACTTCGACAGGGCCATCATACATACCCAACCCACGATTCTGCGATCAGTGTAA